ATAAATTCAAAGTAAACATCATTACATAAAAGGGTACGGTCTTTTTTTTTTTAGTTTTATTCATTTCAAACGGGCCGGATCCGGCCCGCGGGCCGTAGTTTGCCCACGGCTGGGTTAGACTAAACCAGTGGTTCTCAACCTTGGCTGCACATTAGAATCACCTGGGAATCTTTTTAAAATCCTGATTTCTGGGCCTCATCCTCCGGAAATTCTGTTTCTTTGTTACTAATGTTGTGGCCTCGCTCCATAACAAAGAAACAGACCTTGCAACCCAGAGTCATAACTGCGGCTGCAGCGACGAGAAGGGACCAGGCCTCGCGGGCCTCCAGGTGGGGGCGGGGCTGGCGTGGGGGCTGATTTCCCCGATAGCTCAGTGTCCAGCTTACGTCCACGTCTTCCTTTAAGCTGGGAAGGAGAATTTGTTTATTTTTTAAAATATATTTTTATTGATTTCAGAGAGGGAGGGAAAGGGAGAGAGAGATAGAAACATCAGTGATGAGAGAGAATCATGGATCGGCTGCCTCCTGAACGCCCCCTACTGGGGATCGAGCCTGCAATCAGGGCATGTGCCCTGACGGGGCAATTGAACCCTGACCTCCTGGTTCATAGGTCGATGCTCAACCACTGAGCCACACTGGCCGGACTAAACCGGGATGGAGAATTTTGATGGCGAAGTGAGGACAGGAGGCAGCTGCAGAGCCACGCTGGGGTCTGGCTGCTGGTGTGAGGTGGCACCACCTGACCCTGCCCCAGGCTCCCTCCTGGGCTGACTCCTTAGCCTTCCGAGGCGCCAGGCATTTGCTGCAATTACAGCAAGATTCTGGCAAAGCGGAGACTGGCCCTGCACAGCACAGATGTTTCCTCACGAGGGCACGGGGCCTGCAGACAGGGGTGAGCTCACTGCGCCTCCAAGAGCAGGCCCGGCCGGGGCCCGGCGTCTGCGCACCTGCTGGCTGGACTCCCCTGCTGCTCACAGGGCCTCCCCCTCCCCCGGGCTCAGCACAGGGGCTGTGAGACACTGAGGTGCATCCGGGTCCCCGAGAGACCGCCTCCTCCAGAGCTGGTTCCCACGGCGCCTTCCCTGCGAGGGGCCAAAGGGCTCGGGGACCCTCTTCAGAGTCTGCGCCAGGTTTGGGGGCGCAGCTTCTTCCTCCGTGGCCATCTCTCCATTACCCTCCATTCACTCAGCACCACCACTGCCCAGCACCCAGCGAGCCTGCCCCCCACCCCAGCACGTGGCACGAGCAGGGGGCCCCTCCGCCCAGCGCCCAGGGCTGCCCACCCCTAACCTGGCACACTTTCGCCTCCTTCCTGCGTCTCCCTGGATCTCCCTTTGCGGAGCCACACGGAGCCGCTTGTCATGTCCAAGGTGTGCCCAAGCGCCTGGTCTCTCTTCTCAGACCCAGCCCATCCTGCAGGACTCGGCCAGCCCCTCACTGAGGAGTCTTCCTCTCCCACCCCATCTGGACAGAGGCGCTCAGCCCCCCAACCGCGGCCAGGAAAGCTGCCTGCGGGGGGCTGGCATCTGAGTGTCCTCCCAGGAGCCACGTGCCAGGCCACGCTCAGGCCCTCCCAGGGCCGCCCGGGCATTGGTTGCTGAGCCTCGGGAGCCCGGCCGGCCAGCTGCCTCCACTCAGAATGCCATGCAGGCCTGAGCCCCAGCCCCAGCCCCTGCCCCAGTCCCCCAGTGATTCCGGCTGAGGCCACCTGCTCAGCGGCACCACTACCTGCTCAGCCCCGCATCCTCACCCCTGGCAGGGGCTGGTCTCCGGGCATTCCTGATACCCTACCTGCACCCGCCTCCACCTCAGAGGCCTTCCCAGCCCGCCCATGGGCAGGGTGTCCTAGCTCACCTGGGGGAGTGGGCAGGGTGTCCTAGCTCACCTGGGGGGGAGTGGGCAGGGTGTCCTAGCTCCCCCGGGGGGAGTGGGCAGGGTGTCCTAGCTCACCTAGGGGGAGTGGGCAGGGTGCCCTGCTGGGTGAGTGGACAGAGGTGTCCTGCTGGATGAGTGGGCAGGGGGCCCTGGCTCTCCGGGGTGAGTGAACGGCATTTCTCTCTCAGACACCGAGCAGTGCAGGCCGGCCCCCACCCAGCCCGGTGGCCCCCGGAGCTCCCCTGTCCCCACCCCACCCCAGGGCGTCCCCCTCCATATGGGCTGGGTGTAGTCTCGGCCGGAGAAGAAAGCGCTGGGCTCGCCTTGGGGGCCCGGCCCTGGCAGCAGGACGGTGCCCGGACTTGCGTGGCCTCTCTGGCCTGTGTCTCTAGAACGTTCTCTGCTTCCTCTCTCCCTGCTGCAGACTCGCCTCCGAGTGCTCAGAGCCTCTGCTGACGCCGTGTCTCTGGGACCCTGAGGGCTGGGGGAGGAGCCTCCGGCCTCGGGGCTGAGTCCTCAGGGATGCCCTCACCGGGCAGCGTCCCCGCGGACGGTGCCGGTCAGCGATGCGGTCAGCAGTCAAATCCACAGGGACCGCGTGCTTCTCCCCCGTTCATTCCTTTGGTCACACACTCCTTCGATTTACAACCACTTCCCGAGCACCTGCTGTTTGCGATGCTGAAGGTCAGATAAGGCTCACGAAGGCCCTGGCCGGTGTGGCTTAATGGACAGAGCGTCAGCCTGTAGTCTGAAGGGTCCTGGGTTTGATTCTGATCAAGGGCATGTACCTTGGTTTCAGGCTCCTCCCTGGCCCAGGCCCTGATCAGGGTGCGTGCAGGAGGCAACCAATGGATGTGTTTCTCTCACATCGAGGTTTCTCTCTGCCTTTCCCTCTCTTTTCCACTCTCCCTAAAAATCAATGGAAGAATGTCCCCGGGTGAGGGTTTAAAAAAAAAAAAAGGCTCCCAAAGGAGGGGTCCTGAGCCCCAGCCAGATGCTCGCTGGCTTCTCTGGCGTCACCGGCCAGGGAGCGGGGCCAGGCCCGGCCTGAGGACTCCCAGCTCCCGTCCTCGCTGCTCCCGCATGCACCTGCTTTCTGTCCCCGGAACCTACTGGCAGGCCCAGTCCCTGCTCGTGCCGGCGCTCGGGCGTGCAGCTTAGAAGCAACACAGTGGCATCATTGTGGGAGCGGGTGCACCCCGAGCCCCTTAACCCCCTGCTCTAATCGTACCGGCCCAGAGCCACGGCCATCGTTTGTCACCACTTCCCAGGTAGACGCACGAACTCTCAATCAGCAGGCCCGGCCGCGGAGGAGTAAATAAACAGCACGCCGGCCGAGCGCTAGAATTAGAACCGCCATTCGGCTAAAGGAAAGTAAGACGTTTTCATGCCAGGCTCTGCCCGGGCTGAGCTGCTGCTAGGGAACAGCCCGTGTGTGAACACGTTGGGAGCTTTGAGGCGGGAGGCGGCGTGGCACGGAGACGGGATCTTGTGAGTGGGGCTGCATGCACTCCCCACCTTTCCGTCCCGTGTTTACCTCCCAGAGCCACGCGAACGTGGTGACTGGTATCCTTCAGGCGTTTGACAGTTACCTGGTGATGTCGCCCAACATTTCTGACTGTATTCGTGTAGCAGGTTGGCACCGTTCACTGGCAAGACGGGGTGACGACAGGAAGGACACGAGCTAGTCATTTAACACTTTCTCTCAAGTACCGTCTCCACGCTGGGCACCGTGCTGGGCAGTGAATACCAAGGGACTTGCTTTCACGGAGCTCATGTGTAGCGGTTGCAGGCAAATAAGACAAACAACAAACAGGCATCGACCTAAGGACATAACACCCACAAAATGCCCGGATGGTGAGAAGTGGTGCCAAGGAGCGTGCAGGGCAAAGGGATGGAGAGCGATGGAGGCGCCGTCTTAGGTCCGGTGCCTGGGCGGAGTCCGATGAAGTGACACTGCAGGACAGACCTGGATGACAAGAGGGAGCGATGTGCTGTGGAGGGAAAGAGCAGTCAAGAGTGGGAACAGCCAGTGCAAAGGCCCTGGGGCAGGAGTCCGAAGGCCAGTGTCCTGGAGCAGAGCAGGATTTAACTGACTGGGTTTTCAGATTGTAGACACCTGCTGATTACAGGAGCCTGATGCAGCTGAACCCATGGTTTTACCTTATTCTGAGGGAGAGGTGAGGGGTGAGGTCACGTAGCCCTGTTGCATCAGCTCAGGCCCCTGCTGCTGGGCCGAGCTCTGCTGGCTCACATCGGTCTGTCTGCCGTTTTCAATATTTATCGCCTAATGACATGACAAATCGCATCGCATGTAGCTGTCTTGTCAATGAGGAAGCAAAGTAATTAAGTGTTAAAATTCTATTGCTTCAATCCCCCAAGCTGTGCTCGCTTCGAGTAAATTGAGTGACTGTGAAAGACCTTGGTGCCGGCTGGTAAATGGCCTGTCACATCCGGGGGGACGGGAGCCCCGCGCTCAACAAGACCTGCTGGACTCGTAATGTCAACATGACAAATGGGCCAGGCTTTCGTCCTTGATCGCGAGCATTTGTCATCCGCCGGCAGAGGAGGAGCAGGCCGGCTGCTCGTTTGCCTGATCTGCTGAGGATGAAGGTGACTGGCAGGTGGGCTGTAAGCTCCGTGGGTGGGGCGCCTGGAGGCCCCGCCGGGGTTCACAGCAGCGCCCAGGGCACTGCCTCTTAGGCCTCCGCCCGCCACAGGCCGGGTGCCTGTGCCCAGGCCTGACCTCCCCACTCCCAGCAGACTGCTCCCCCTCCCCACTTCTCTCCTCATTTCTGATGCCAAGACTGAGCGCCCATTCTCGGCCCAATAGGTTTTTTACAAATCACTGTAAAATATACATAACATGGTATTTATGAATCTAACCATTTGTCAGTGTACAAGTCACTGGCAATAAGTGTTGTGCAACCCTCCCCCTGCCTCCCAGGCCCTAACCCTCCCCCTGCCTCCCAGGCCCTAACCTCCCACTGCCTCTCAGGCCCTAACCCTCCCGCTGCCTCCCAGGCCCGGGGGCCTCTGGTCTGCTCTCTGTCCCTGTACCGTGGCCACGCCAAGTACCCACAGAAGTGGGAGCTGCAGTGTTTGTGTCTGGCTTACTTGACTCACCACGTTTTCGAGGCCCATGTAGGAAAATCCCTTTCCTTTTCACAGCTGTATACGCTTCCACCACGTTCTGTAGCCACACGAGGCTGCTTTTGGAAAGGGCCAGGCAGCCGCGCTCACTGCACTGGTCGCTGCTCAGGCCTGGTCCCTGCTCGGGCCTGGGTGTAGCCATCTCCTTGGCCTCAAGGCCCGGCCTCGCTGCCGTGTTAGCCCCGAGGACAGCGGATGGTTACTGCCCACCCCTTTGACTCTAGTCCACGAGGGAACCTGGGGGACGCGATGGGAGAGACCAAGAGCAGGTTCTGTCCGGGGTCTGCGGAGTGCTGATGCGATGCTAACGCCCACAGAGTAGAAAATCCATTTGATCATAGACAACCAGCCCCAGAGAGCCGGCCTGTGCGCTGTTGCCATGGGGACCGTGGAAGGTGGCCGCGCAGTTCATCTCGAGGGCTGGCCCGTGTCCCTGCAGCACCGAGGACTGCCCACGTCCCAGGTGAGTCAGCGAGAGTCCTGTCGCTCTGCCGGCCATGCCTTCCCCTCCTCTGACCTCCGCACACGCCCGGCCTCCCCTGGTGAAAATGTGGCCGGAGCCATGGTGCTCCTGTCGCTGTTTCCGACCATAAAGTCATGAGCATTCGACCTCAGAGGGACCCAGGACTCCTCCAGCCGGTGAGGGAACAGGCCCAGGGAAGCCACGGGCGTGGTCACTTGCCGCAGCTGCGACCTGGCCCGGGGCTCCCGACTCCGCTGTTGTCCCCGCTGACCAGGAGGTCTGGGGCCTGCGGTCAGGGACGCGGGCGGTCCCCGACGCGCAACCAGACTGCTGCTCGTTCCCCTCGACCCTTAGCGGCACCGGTGCCTGCGTCGGAAAGGGCCGCCTCATCCTGCAGGACTCAGCTTTCTGAAGGAGGGGATGGGGCACGATGGTCTCAGAGGGTCACTCACGCTTTATTGCTTTTAAAGGAGACAAAGAACAGCTTGCCAGCGTGGCCCAGTGGTTGAGCGTGGACCTATGAACCAGGAGGTCACGGTTCGATTCTGGTCAGGGCGCAGGTCCGGGTTGTGGGTTTGATCCCCAGTGTGGGGCGTGCAGGAGGCAGCCGATACACGATTCTCTCTCATCATTGATGTCTCTCTCTCTCCCTCTCCATCTCCCTTCCTCTCTGAAATCAATAAAAATACATTTGAAAATAAGTAAATGAATGAATAAAAGCAGGTCTCATCTCCCGAGTCATCCCTGACCAGGCGCTGGCTCTCCCGAGGGAGCCGTGGGGGACAGGAGGATGCGCGGTGGCTGTGAATTAATGGCAGGAAACCCGCGTCTGGGGACTATTCGAAGAGCAGGGCATTCATTTGGGGACTTGCTTTAAGAGAGAAAATTCATGTGTTCGCTCTCGAAGCTTTAAAAGCTTTTCATGCTCCCCTTAAACAGCGTCGCTAATGGAAGGAGCGGCTCTCTCCTCGGATAATGGCCTTGTTATTGCTTCAGAGCCGGCAGCTGGCGCAACACCGGCTTTCTCTCGGCCCAGCCCATCACTGACGTCCGGATGGCTAAGTGCTCTGCCAGGCCTCTTCTTAAAAGTGGAAAATGGCAGCCGCTCGGAATGACCCTGACAACGGACGCCTTTGAGGAGGACGCGAGGCCCGGAGGCTTCTTGCTGGGTTTTCGGCTGAAGCCATTCCTCAAACCTGCCGGGCGCCGGCCTCCAGGCAAAGGAGGGAGTGTGTGTGTGGGGGGGGCGGGGGGGGTATTCTAGACCGAGGGGAAATCCACGCAAAGGAGCGGGGGAGAGGAAATACAGAGAAACCGCATCTGCCTCTGGCCCACAAGGTGTGAGGGTGGGATGGGGCGCAGGGGACGGTGAGCGATGGGCCCTGGAGGACATCCCCCCCCGCCCCCCCCCCCCATCAGGACGGGAATCAGGGAAGGGTGTTTACCAGGAAATTAAAGCCAACACCGTAAACAGCAGGAGAGGTCAGCGTGTCCTTGGACAATATGTTGTGTGTGTTTTTTTCTCACCTGAGAACATGTCTTTATTGATTTTAAAAATTGGTTCCTTTTTATTTGTTTAACTATGTTTTTATTGATTTCAGAGAGGAAGGGAGGAGGAGATAGAAACATCTATGATGAGAGAGAATTATGGCTCGGCTGCCTCCTGCACGCCCCCTACTGGGGATGGAGCCCACAACCCTAGCATGTGCCCTTGATCTTTTTTCTTTTTTAAAAGGAAGGCACTTCTTTCTTTTTTTGAAAATATTTTATTGATTTTTTACAGAGAGGAAGAGAGAGGGATAGAGAGTTAGAAACATCAATGAGAGAGAATCATTGATCAGCTGCCTCCTGCACACCCCCTACTGGGGATGTGCCCGCAACCAAGGTACATGCCCTTGACCAGAATCGAACCTGGGACCCTTGAGTCCTCTATCCACTGTGCCAAACCGGTTAGGGCATGTGCCCTTGATCTTAATTGAACCCGGGACCCTTCAGTCTGCAGGCCGACGCTCTATCCACTGAGCCACACCAGCTAGGGCTCTTTATTGATTTGAGAGAGAGAGGAGGGCAAGAGTGAGAGAGAAACATCGACCAGTTGCCTCCCTAAGACATCATGACCGGGGACTGAACTCACAGCCTGGGTATGGTTCCTGATCTGGAGTTGAACCCTAAACCTTTTGGTGCATGGATGATGCTCCAAACCACTGACCCACCCGACAGATAATGTGCATTCCCTCTCACTCTCTCTCTCTCTCTCTCTCTCTCTCACACACACACACACACACACACACACACACACACAGTGCCCTTATAAAGTGGGCCATTGTCACCATTTTTTGCGAGTTTTGTGAAACAGCATCTTAAACTATGGCACCTGTCCTGAGGCTGCAGTCAGAGGCATCGCATTCTTTGTATTCGTTTCTTTAAAGCTACAGAGTAATAGAGAAACAGTTCCTGCAAGAGGTTTGCTTTTAAGAGCTGCATTTATCGGGTGCTTTTAGAGCACCGGGAGCTTTCACAGGCTTCGCAAGCCACAATATTGTTTCCAACAAATAAACCAAGCCCTGCCCCGGGGGGCGATCAGGAAAAACGGCTCAGAACTCGGTCCTGTTCCCATTTCCATCTGCGTGATGGACAGGCTGTCGGTGGGGGACCCTGAACAGTGGAGGCCCCTGCGGGGGGAGTGGGGAGAGAAATATGAGATTGAATGTGACTTTTCAACAAATTGAAATGGAATTTGAGCCCATTATCATAAGCCCCGCAGGGCGTGCCTGTCTCGTGCAGCTGAATTCCTTTGTGAGGACTGTGCTGTGGGATTCAAACCCCTCGCTCCCCCTCGCTCGCTCGCTCCTAGTGACTAAGAAGGAAATGGAACAGGGGGAACCCCGGCAGGCAGCTGGCTCCTCATTTCAAATTCATTTCTCCTTCCTCTCGGCTGATTGTGTCTAAATGTCCACTCTGGCCCTGGGTGGTGTGGCTCAGTGGATAGAGCGTTGGCCTTCGAACTGAAGGGTCCCGGGTTCGATTCCAGTCAAGGGCACAGGCCTGAGTTGTGGGCTCGATCCCCAGTAGGGGGCGTGCAGGAGGCAGCTGATCAGTGATCTTCTCTCATCATGGATGTTTCTATCTCTCTCTCCCTCTCCCCTCCTCTGTGAAATCAATAAAAATATATTTAAAAAAATAAATATAAAATAAATGTCCGCTGCCCACAGGATTCAGGGGAGGCCGAGGCCAGTCACTGGGGTCTCGTTCCCCTTGTTCGTGATTGGTGTAGGCGCCAGGCCTGAGGAACAAGGCTGGCCAATGAGAGCCTGGCTGGTTCGTATGAGATGCCTGGACGGCTGCAGCCCTCTCGCAACCAGGAGGAGAGCCAGCGGCGTGGGGGCAGGTCCGCCTGCTGAGCGCACAGGGGGACGTGGAAAGAACGGGCGTTTGGAGGGTACGGAGTCACTGAGCTAACCAATTCTGGACCCATCTTTCCTCGGAATGTTTTATTAGGTAAGAGCTTTCTTGTTTTTTTCTTTCTGCTACCGACAGCATTCTCACCACAGAGAAGGAAACGGCTTTAAAGAACGCCCTCCACAGCTCTCTCTCCCTGGGTCTTTGTGCAGGCAGTGATGTCCTCAGGGGGCTTGGAGGTCAGGTGGAGGTCGTTGACTTACAGAGGATGAAGGGGAACCTGTAATTAGTGACGACACGAAAAGGCCAGGGACCAGCTCCGACGCCTCCTTCTCCAACCCGACTCGGTGTCTATATTCCCGCGAACAGGAGCCAGTGGGTGATGCGGAGGGCGCCCTGGGCCAATGCTGGTTCCTCTTCCCGCGACGTCCTGGGTGAGCTCGTGCGGGCGCTTCCTTGCGGGCCATGGTCTTTTCATCTGAGGAAGGGAGGGTGGACAGACCCTTTTTGGGGTCCCCCCAGCTCTCGTGGTCAGTGACGCTGGACCCCTTTGCCCGACTGTGCTGTCGGGGGTGCAGCAGCATCGCCCGCCCCCCTCCAGCGGGGAGATCTCTGCTGGTGTGTCTCTCTGCTCCTGGCGGTCGGGGCCCGGGACACCTGGCCCTGGATGGCGTCCTCATGAGCGTCCTCACTGGGACGCGGATCTGTCTGTCTGGGGGTTTGGGGCACTGCTCCCCGGGAAACTCAGGCCCCTGAGAAGGGATGTGGGCCGTGTCATTTGTCAAGGATGCCACCGCGTGAATGACGGGGGGCAGGCACAGCGTGGTGCCCAGCGATCACATCTCATTCCTACGGGGTTGTTCGTACCGATACAGTGGAACCTTGTTTCTCGAACTTAATTCGTTCTGGAAGGCTGTTCGAAAACCGAATCATTTTTTCCCCCTTAGAAATCATGCAAATTGAACTCATCTGTTCCATACCCCCAACCGAGTCCCTGTTTTAACCTTTCTTATACACAGGACATGGCTCTCGTACTGTTTAAATTATAAATAAGCACATTAAAAACAAAAGGGACATGCAACATAAATGAAAATTTAACAAAAAGGAAAGGAAATGTACAGTAAAAAATGAAAATTTAACAATAATTATAAGCAGCAGAAAGCCACGAGAATATTCTTGGTCGGCGAGCAGAGACTACAATTTCATGTGCCCACGACGTACTCTGTGCGGCCGCTGCGCTCGCTGTTCGCTCAGGACGTGGGGAACCACCTTTGGCCCTG